TCTCAGTCTTGGAGATGGGAAGTGGCGATTTATAGAGGACACGCTACATCATCGATAAATAAAGGGTATGAAAAGGGAATAAACAAATAATCACAGAGTCCTAAACATTTTTCTACGTACATCTAGTCATTTCATCATTCGATGGTCAGAAGCTTATGTATAGGTTTCCTTTTGATTTTTCCAAAAATTATTTGCATCAAAGCTGAAGATGATGCCTTTCAATCAATCAATCAATCCCTTCTGAGAGATGTGACCCCCGCATTCGACTTTCATTCAGAATCGTAGTGGGCATCGAATGTATATGTGGTCTATGCAATGACTTGCGGTGGCCAGCCGTCGCACAAGTCAGTGCTTAAACCTCTCAGATGAGTCTGGTACCAATTAACTCGTCCCGCACAAGTAGAATGTTCGCTTGGTTCAGGCGGATATCACTCCGGGATTAACCTGTACCCATGCATATTCGATAGTGCACCATCCCTCCCACTATCGCTATCCCCGCCCAACAAAAGCTCCATGAATCATTAGATAGCAGTTTTCCTGCGGAATCGGAATTTGAATTTAGTGAGAAAATAAAAGGTGATCAATTCACTTGCCGACGTGAATGAACTCGTGACCTTTCTGAATGCAACACGGAGCTACTCCCCCACCCTACCTCCCTCTACCCGCAGCCTCTCGGTATAAGCCAAGTGGTTGAGGGTGTGATTCATGTCGCAGTCAAAAGAAAACCACACATCGTAAGAATTGCAAGAATGTTGTAGCTTCTAACGTCAGGCTCTGGTTAACAGGTCGGATGACGGAGGAACTCAGTCGCAACAAAAATGTCCCGAAAAGAATCAGTCCTAAAGCCAGGACGGCATCCAAGTGAGAGGCACAAAACCGCCTCCACAACGAGCTCCACTACTAAGCAGAGAATAGTAAACGAAATGGTGTGGCCATTGAAGTGGCCGAGTTCTGGAGCGATGGAGTCCTAAGAATTGTAAAGAAAAACACGAACTTCTGTAAAAGTTGCATGAGACAAGCAAGGCAGAAAATACGGAACTGGGCAGATAGGTAGGTGAAACTTGTTCTTTAGGTGGAGCTCGGTGACTGGAAAAAGAAAACTTTTCTTCCTTCGCCTATTCAAAGCGGTTATCGGTACAAAGTTCGTAAAAGAAACTCAACTAAGATTAAGGGCTGGTGGCTAGAATACCTTGATGGGCTCCTGAACGAAGAAGTCCACAAAATCCACAGCTCCCACATAGAAGCTGCTGCTGGTACCACTGAACACGCTGGACAGAACATGAGGTCCATCGAGCAAAAGGAAGGTAAAGATTGAGAAAGCTGGCGTTATGGTGTATCAATCGACGCATGGAGGTGCTCGAAGGACATAATGCTCAATGACCTCTGATTCGTGAACACTGTGACCACGGAATGAAAATTTCAGACGCGATTTTCAGGCAAATTTCAGCAGTACTATGTTCCCATCCTTAAGAACGAAGGGGATGGATTCAGTGTTTCAATAAATGGAGGATCAGGTTGACTGCGCAGACATAGAACTCCACTACGGCTGGTCGACTAAAGATTGAGGAAGCTAGTTCAGATTTCTCAGGATCAACATGATCTCATACCGGAAAGATCTGCAATGGATGTCATCTTCATAGGTAGACATTGAGTGTAGAATTAACGAGGAAAACGCAGGCTTCGCCGCCCCTTCGCTGAACTAGAGAAGGCTTCCGAGTACCTCCCCGGTATTCTGGAGAACGCTCCGAAAACGAAAGTTCTAGAGCATCTAAGCTCCCTTTTCGAGCACCAGTACGATGGATTCAAGACAATTATAACCACTCCTTACGGCTTAACAAAAGCATTTTACGTTATGGTCAGGGTCCAACAAGGATCAGCCCTTCCCTTCTTCTACCAACCCTGAATATAATCGCAATTGGGTTCTTAGATAAGCCACTGAAGACCATCCTTCGGGAAAAGACCGTCCTCGAAACAAAGTCATGCCCAGAGCAGTGTATGGTCCGCGATGTTCCATGGTAGTGAGTGCTGGCTTATAGGCAAGAACCATGGTAGGCAACTTCACTCAGATGATGTTGATATGGGCCTGCAGTCAGTGGATCGGACCAGAAACGATAGATGTTGGACTGGCTAAACAAGCAAACAAAACCGCAAGCAAAACCGAGGAAGAAGTGACGAGACCATCAAAAAAATCAAAAACTAAGCTCAGAGCAGAAGGTGCCGCAGAGGGAAAGAAATGAAGACGACCAACAATAACGGAGGGCCCCGCGACATGGCGGGGCTAACGTTGAAGAGAAAAAGAAGATTGCCGTGTATCGATATCAAGGGTCGCAGAGCTCGAGGAAACAATGATTTCAGGTTGGTCACGAAACCATGCAAATGCGCAGCTCTGTACATGCAGTCTATGAACATAATCGATTCTGATTCCATTGCTATCCCCTGAAAATTAGACAAAACGCTTTTTTAAATCAGGTGGACATTGCTTCAATTCAGACTAACCTTCCTCGATGCACTTCTACCCGGTGCTCGACGAGCGCAGTTCATTGACATACACAATTCCCGGAAAACTCACTTGAACAGACCTCTGACAAAAAAAATAATCCGCTTTTCCGCAAAATTTTCTCAGGAATATCAGTCTCACATATCAGTCAGTTTGATTCCTAAATAAGATGAAGAAATGTAAGCAGCCTCAAGTAGAAGCCTTTAGGAAATGCAGCATTAAAGAAGTGAAAACTGATGAAAAGAAGCGATTTTCATTAGCCTTCCGTTAAGCTCGGAAACACGGACGAGGACAACGTCCACGAAATCACGATACGATTGGTTTCTAGATTTCAGACATCAACACATCGAAATTGCGTTAGAAGCTGCTCACCACAATGAAGGTAAAGTTGTGCGGTAGGAATCACTCTAGTCTTTTCAAGCAACCTTCGCCCAAAGCAGCCGCCGTTTCTGACCACATACCTACCAGAGTCTTATGATAGACGCAGCCCATGCAAAGAATTAGGGATCATTGCCGTGTTTGAACGGTGAGTGGCAAACCAAATAACACAACTGTTCAACGTCAAGAGGCTTCAAAGAGATTATGAGACCTATGCATACATATTCAACATAAACATGCTGAACGACCAGTTGAAATTAGTTGAGCTCCAGTCAAAAAGAGTATAGCACACTCACATTGAAATCAAGCTGGATACCACACTTCCAAATCTTTCATGGCCGGCGAGTAAGCTCATTGGTTTTTTTGATGACAAACAATTGGAACGGATCTCCTCCCCTAAAAGCACAGTTCAGATGAAATGGCGTGCGAGATATCCCGCTAGTATAAATCTGTGGCCCCCTCGTATGCCATATGGGGCGCTTTCACGTCTGAAAATGGTCTAAATAGGGCGTTATAAAGACTCAAAATTTGTCCCGTGTGTATTCGTAGACGGATTGTTCAGGCCGCTCTATCCACAAGAAAACCCATGCGGGAATTTCGAACAACTTCTCATGTCCCACGGCGGCATCGAAAATCAGTTCTACAGTTTTGCTTGACTTAGTCAGCTCTTCGTGCAACTGCAACAATGGAAATGTCGTCCAGATACCCCTTCCAAGTCATTTCCGTCATGGTAATCTCGGACAATCTCAATTTTCGGTGAAAATGTAGTTGGGGGTGCCAGGTACCTTTGTGCTCTGCGTTTCTTCATTTCTCACCCTATCTAATCATCTCACCCATCCCGGAGCTCCTCCCCTTCGGTAAGTTAGGGAAGGAGCCACGGGGTGGGTGAACCACTTGGATGTTCAATTGTTATCCCATCCCAGTTTTTTGCCAAGATTATCATCTCTCTCACCCCGGAGCTCCTCTCTCTAACTTTTGAAGGAGAGGAATCCATCTCTGCGATCTCTACGCACTCGGCCGCCGATGTGAGAGACGCAGAGCACAAAAGGGCGCTGGCACCCCCCAACCACATTTTCACCCAATTTTCACTTCTTTTGGGGGCCTTGATTTTCGCAAAATCGACGGACTTTCCCATCTTTAACCACGGCTGCACTATTCCCAACCAATGCTTCCGCTTTTCCACTTAGAAAGGGTACATAAAAATTACTGTGCACTAGGCCTTCAATACTTGATGTGGGGTTATGCTAATAGAGCCTACGTACAAGGTGAGAGAGGTGTTCAGATGGTAAAAATATTACCTTTTCGAGAAGAGGCTGCAAAAATCGTGATCCAGTTCCTGAAATGCTTTCGAGCGATTCGATTCCAGATTCTGGTTTGAACGAAGATAAGTCTTCCCAATACTCATTTTCAGGCAATCCTTGCTCATAGAACAAGCATATATTCGTACTTTTTCTTGGAAAAAATGTAAACGGAAACCACCTCATAGAAGTCAGTAGTCATACACATGCATGCGTTATGAGAGACTATTGAAGAGGAAATCGATTCTCACTATGTAACAACACAATAATCGGCTCATAAATGTATAACGCTAACATATCAACTATATTAATACGCAATTAATAACATCAATATGAAAAATAGCAATTTTCAAAATTCCAGACAGAAAACGGAATCACGTACAACTCCCCAAGCTTCTGACACCAATAGCATCCTTTCCCAGTCACTATACGTAAAACACGCTGCATAGAAAGTGGTTAATGCGGACATGAATGATGCATATCAACAACAAAGAATAGCTTATTTAGATAATATGGCAGGAGACGATGAAATTTTGATCAATTCTGATAAACTGGTAACCGATCACTCACAAAAAAAAAAAATTACGCAACTGCCGTAGCACTGGCAAAAAGACATGTATGAGGGACACGTATCGTCGACGTCGGTTAACGACAAATACATGAAAACGAAACACGCGAATTTGTATGTTCGGCAGTGACAAACGATTAGATTATCTGAGTGGTACTAAAAAACAAATACACATCAACCGAAAATCTACAAACAAGAAAACATTCACAGGTCATTCCATTATTAGAAGAAGAACTAATGATCTGGGAGCAGTGTTCACCTATGCCTTCCTTTGTGACCGCACTCGTTGCTTAGATAATTTCGTTGACGACAACGAGTCGTCATGGGGCTTTGGTTCCTTCTTAGGCGCAACGTCATCGGATGTCTTCAGTTCAGCCTTCACAGATTTCTTCAACACCGTACGCCTTAGTTTGTCGGGCTTACTCTGAGAGCCAGCAGTTCGACTACTATCGCTGTCTGGAGTGCTTCGATTTGCTTGCGCTCTAAAAGAGGGGAAGTAGGATGGCCGTACACGCACAGAGGAAAGAACGGGACCATCTGGCCAGAGACCCCCAGTAACGCGAGGGTACGAGAACGAATCACATAGTATAACAACAACACAAGCTGAATAAGATTTCTCACTTGATACTCTTCTCAATTGGAACGAACTTATTCCATGTTTGACCGTAATTGTAGTCGAACAACAGTTCTTCTCCGAATAAGATATGTCGACTGGCATATACACCAATACGATGCTCCCCATTTACAATTTTTATCTGGAAACCATTCATATAGTAAGACCAAGTAAGAAATAAATCCACGATGAAAAGTTCTAACCTCAGACGAGCAGTTAGCGTTGTTGTTGGAGTGGTTGGCGAAACGTATAAGATTGCCTACACGAGTGGCATCGATGAACTGGTCGTTATTCATGCCTATATAAAGAAAGCGTTTGTGCAAACCGAAACGATTTAACTAGATTAATTAGATGACAGGATAGGAGATGTTGACCGTAACATCTAATATACAGACTGTAACAACTAATATAGTTTTCCCCTACTTGCAGCTCGCAGAGAAATTGATTTGGGATTTTGTAACAAAGAAAAGAACTGAAAGAAAACAAAGCAGCATTAGGGTAAAAATGGAGGATAAGAAAAGAGGAACATTTACTGAGGTAGAGGTGCAAAAATTATGCACTTCCTTGCCAAAACCTGAGAAAGAACAGCAGCAAAAGCATAAAAACTACAGATTCCAGGAAAAAGGAAACCAAAAGGGCAACACCCAGCTCATATTTTCATGAAAGAGCTGAAACTCTTCGTTTGAAATCCACATATCAGCATAGAACTCACCAAAGATGTAACTGGTGCAAAACTTGTCGTAGATCAGACCACGTCGTTCAGATTCCCATTTTGAAATGACCTCACCTGTGTATTCCGCAATCAAATCACCCTGAAAAGTGGCTCGAGATTTAGAAGCCTATTCATAAAATGTGTGAAAATAAAAAAAAAACGAAAGAAAACCTTTCAAACCAACCTTATCAGCAGTTTCTTGAATAAAACAGCCCCATCCTGCAATACCAGATATGCCGACCTAAACAAGCAAACGCATCGTCATAATCTTTCACCTACAAGAGCATCCTACTAACTTTAAGAAGTTTTTGGTGACCACGCTGAAGGGGAACGTTTCGGCACTTTTCACCATCCATAGACAAGTCATCTGGAAAAAAAATGTGACCATCCATGGTTTTAGGTTCAGTCACGAATAACAAAAGATGTACTAAAAATGCAACCAATTACGAGAGGGATTTGTAACAACTTATTCATCGCGACGACAAATTTCTTACCGCACTTGCATGATTTGCACAAGTCGGGGTCGCACTCCCATCTCGCAAAGTAACACTGGCATTGCTTCGTTCGACAGTTACCTGAACGACGACAATTAAATCATCATCAGTACAAAATGATTCTCCACAGAGGATGGATCCGCATGCATCCAGCTTCCTCCTAGTTGACTGATGCTACTGCGCAATACCCTCTAGTACCTCAAATTTCCCAGAAAGGACTTGAAAGTCGTACAGATAGTGGGGCGGAATGAGTCCGAATACCCCACCCACTAACCGACCACAATCACTGCCTTCAGAAGGAAATCTTTGTACCGGTGATTTAAGACTTTCCAGGCAATCTATTCATCGGACAATCAGTGTATTTATAATTATCAGTGGCAGAATTGGAAAGATTAAGCCCTTGACGACAATGCGCTTTGGTGTGCTCACCGGTGGGTGCCACTGTCCCAGGTGAAAGTTCCTACACTGGATTCCTAAATTTGACAGTATATCCTGATTAACAGAAGTACAAGGATATTCTCTCAACATTAAGGCCTTGAAATGAATCCTCAACGGCCTTGATTGGAGGTGGAATTAGAGTATGCAGTAGGAATATGTATAACTTCAAGGTCCTTGATGATCAAGCTGTGCTTTGCAACTGCCATGCTGAGTTAAACTGGCGGTCATATGATCGCAAATCAGGGCTTTTACTGTCTACAAAGTTTTGGGACGTACATAGATCTTGCCAAAGTCCCTAGTTTTCTTCACTAGTACTCCATTGACCATATGAGTTTGACATAAATTAACTATTATAGAACATTCATATTCGGACCACGATGACTATAACTACTACAAAGTTCGTTAGTAAATACGAAATGATTGGATAAGTTTCAAACGTGCAAACAAATAGAAAATCATAGTGGCACGTAACATTGGATGCCATTCTCCCATGCGCCGGTCACAGTGGCACCCACCGGTGGGTGCCATTGTCGTCAAAGGGTTAACAAGAAATAAGATACAGCGCATCCTGAAACAAGCACAAAAAATTGCCACTGTGTTTTACCTGGCGCACACCGACATCCAGGGAACCGCATTCGGCAATCTGGTGGACAGCCACAGAATTTGCTACAGATCCCACTAGCTGAAGAGCAAACACATTGAGAGTTTCCATCGCAGTGGCCAGAATGGGAGCACGGAACCATCCGTTCCTTATTCTCCACCTAAAAGCGGTTGTCAACAGAAAGCTCACTCTTTTAACATAAACTTGCCCTTTTTGAAAATAGGAAACAACAAAAAGGTCTCACCTGTCCCTTTCCATCTGCCCAGGTGAACGATCGAAATGATCTATGCTTATCTTTAACAGAGCTGAAAAGAAAATACCATAGTATTAAAAACCCTGCGAAAAAAGCTAACTTACACTTTCTTATGTTCAGGAGTGAGGCTGGCATTTGTTTGAGCTAGCTGTGAGGCTAAACGGTGAATCTGAAATAGAAAATGATTAACGATGTTAAGACAAACATGGGATCTAGAAAAATGAACACAAAAAGGAAAATTCTCTGCGACGGAAGTCATTTTTACCGACAGTCAAAGTAGGAATTATTGAGTCGTGCTCAATGAGTGCTAATCAGTGGCTGATGCGCCGTAATTAGAGTCATTGGGTGATTTTTGCACATGAGCGCAAGCATTCGCTCAACACCGTCCGATAATATGAGATCTACGCATAAATTTTCTATTTTCTAGACTTGCTAGACTGACTCAACAATATGCTACATGGAAAAATAAATATAATGAATAAGGAAATAATTCACTGTGAATGCCACATGATTGGCTTGATGACTTGCATCAGAGCCAATCAAATAGGAATCCCAGTAACGAATTAGAGAGAAAGGTGATAACTGACGGAAGGATAAAAATGTCATCAAATTTGGCGTTAGCAAAAAATAAAAGAAAGGTGACAGTAGAAATTATTACCTCACTACATGTTTTGGAAGGAACTCCGATATCCTGACATATCATATTCATCTGTGCCGTAATCAAACAGGTAGACGTCTGTTCACCGGCTAACAGTGCAACAAGGATGTTCATCAACGTGGGGTTAGCAAACGGTGAGACTTTTCCATTTGAGATTTGCCCATTTAATACATTGGATGATGCACTGTCAGTGAAACCGTTTGATTGACGATTCCGACTTCGAGGAGACGATGGACTTCGAGAGGACGCTTGCTTCTTATCACACATTCCGTTCGACACCTGAAAACAACATCCTCAAGCGAAGCTGTACGGTTGACATTGACAACAACCTATAGCGAAATCATGCCCCTATTCAAAACAATATGACAATCACTGGCCTGTTTGCCACTCTGCGCATCGTTCAGGTGACAATGTGGCCCACAAGGTTTCGGTCTAGGAGCCCTCTCTCCCTGACGTCGCTTGAACGGTTTCACTTCCTCATCGTAAGGACCTGGAACACAGCGGCGAAATTATTATGCTACCGTGGATCACACACAATAAGGGCATGCCCGATATTACGGTTAGATTTCCGATCACTCTCTCCAATCAAAGTTAACTGTAGTGAAATTAAAATAAATCGACTCACCGTGCAGCACACAATCGTACTGGTAACACCGCTCACAACACAGCACATTTACAGAATGGAAGTTTTGATCGCTTCTAGAGCGCAGTTCCTGCGTGCTTTTTGACGGCGTTCGACCTGGTGCAAATCTCTCTTCCAGATCGCCTCGCCTAAAGCATATCACACTTGTTAAAGTTTAAAAAAACTGACTCCGCTACAAAAAAATATTATCAAAAAACATACGCAGTAACCAACTGTCGATGAGACAGTTTGTTCGGGAACAGCTTGAAAATTGCATAGTATATGTGATCCATTATTTCTAAAACCTACTCTTATAAATCTCGATATCGAAACTAATGAGTTCTTATCAAGAGTAAACTAACTTTCTGAATTGGATCGATCTTCCCAATCCTGCTTCAAAATTTCTAGCATATTGAACATTATATAGTCATTGATATACTTGTCACAGCCTCGATCTGCGCCATGAATACCCTACAAAATTAAGCTTTGATATAACAGATCCGCGGAGCCACCAACAGTATGACCCACAGTCTACCTGTCACAACGACAAAGGCGTGACTTCGGCATGGCATGACTAATAGAGCTACAATGAGGTACAAAGGACCCTTTTACTTAGAAAACACTATTACCTCCCCAGTTTTGGAAGAAATCCAGTAGTTATTGGATTCGCACCTTCTACCCGAATTTGCGCACACAATTCTACTCAACAGTTACTCACCTCGTCGTATAGCTTCCTCAGCTCAGCGCAAAACTGCTTGTCGTCGTGATCCTCACTGACGAAAGGGATATGTGAAAGTCTGTGCTCTTCATCCGCCTAAAAATTAATATGCTGCTGATGCGTTCAAGTATTTCAAAATAGCTAACCACATCAGAGTAAAATATATCAAAAAACGAAACCTTAGAAAAGTTAATCCGAGGATCAGATTAAGCTTCCATTGAGTGAATTAATCTCAAAATTACTACTCTTTGAACAAAACCCGCTTACTCTGATATTGCACTCTGTGTGCACCCAATATGCTGTTCTGGGTCGAAGTTCGAGCGCTGGCAGAAAACGAACACCGCAGCGCTGTGCGTTCATATTTCGACAGTCAGTAATCTTAAATATAACCAAGTAATGTCAGATTACAAGATATTGCGATAGATTAAAATGAAGATCTCCTCATGAGCTTCTTTACTCTTAGGCGATTTTGGCCAATGTTCATTCGTGCGCGTTCACATGCTATCGCGATTCAGAAGGGATTTCTGTAAGGGGTATGCACCACAAAAACTTTATGACTTGTCAATATCAAGGAGAAATTTGTGTAATTATTTCCTCTTAGCGGAACGCTCTACTGCCTTCCATATTCGCTTCTTCCATTATTGAAAACAGAAGACTTTCATGGCTTCAACAATTCGTTACAAAAGAACCAGACAAGACGTTGAGAATCAAAACGAAAAACACTATTGCGTATTGGTATGTGGGCAACCCTAACCATCATCTATTTAATGAAATTGCGAAGTTTGGCTATATTTTAATAACGGAAGGCACCATAACAAAAAATATGTATGTTTACACCTCGTCCTCATAGCTTCTATCTAAAGCTATTTAGATACCGAGTTTGAATCACTTTAACTTCAGTTTTCCTTCAGTATTAGTTGGAAGATTTGGAGCGAGCTTTTGACCGCGCCCTTCTACAGAAAACGTTTGGACCCAAAAATATCACTATATGGGCCCAGCCTTCTCAGCGATGATTGAAGGCATGGTTCAGCACAAACCTAAGTTCACGAGAAGAACCGGTATTCAGACATGTTTCAGACCAGGAAGACATTCTGTGATCTAGCGCCACCTGTTTCAAAAATTCCAATTCGCTGGCTTCTTGAAGATCACATTCTTTTGGATTATGAGCGTAATTGCATCACCTTCACAACCAACACGATTGAACGATTACAGCAGAGCGAAAAGGCTCCTCCCAAAAAAAAAAATAAAGTCCCAATTTCATTCAGAATACCTATTGAAATACCTTGAAATGTGTTATGAACTCGCTCAGGTCATCCGGTTCAAGAACAAGCTTTGTAGGGGTTGAATCATCGTAGGTATGGTAACGGCGAAGTGGAAGTTTTTTGATGATCTTAGCAAAGTTTGGCTGAAAATGAATAAAAAGATGTGACTGTGATGATGTGATGAATCAGCATTATAAAATGGTGTATAACAGAAAATTGAAAACGCCCTACCGCTTCTTCTTTCCTTATCCTATCATTATAATCCTTTATGACAGTGAAATACACTTCCATAACTCTTCGACCACATTTTTTCAAAAACGCCTCGTCTAGTAGCCGCTCATCCTTGAATCACTACCCATGTCTCCACGCTCCACAAGTACAAGAAAAAATGCAAGAGAGACCATGAGCTCAGCCTACCTCGAACTCGTCGTCACTTCCTAAGCATAGCAGAGATTCATCCAGTACAGACGAATCACAGTCCAAATCAGACAACGAGTCGTCAAGTTCCATCTTATTTTTCTCATCCACCACCGTTATCTCCTACAATGAGGAATCGGGATTTTAGACAAATTTATTGTTGTTTAATCGATAAAGATAAAGATAAAGATTAACAATTTTAGTGTTGATTAAAGAAGGAGATGAGAATTTCTTATAAAACAGGACACGTAAGCTACTGGTGAACGTATAAGATCTAGTCGAAGATTAAATACTGAGAATCACTTTTTTCTTCTTTAGCAGCGACACTGGTGTTTTGCGCTTACGTCCACGACTACTTGATGGTTCATCAGCAGCAACCGTCAGTCGGCTTGCCATACTAGGGGAACTGACAGTCATCGATGCCGGCTGCAATATACAATTTGTTGAAGGTCAAATCTGTACGGCTCTCATATTTCTTGAACTTTCAATAAGTGAGAAACGATGGGAAACGATAAAAAAAATCCAAATCTATCGAGGGAAGAATCGAGGGAGAATTCAAGCATGATTAACGCATCAATGCACATCGTAGCAATTTACAGATAAATATTAGTTATTAATATATAATTCTATTATGAATATTTTGCTAGCATGTCTGTTGGTTTGTCGTTGTGTGTCGGTGTGTTTGTTTACCCGGAAACCCATAACTCCTGTCCCCTGAATCAAGCGCGTTCTTATTTGGATGGAATGCAGGCGGAAAGACGAAAAAAAAACGACGCTGCGACACAGGAAGTGATAACATTTGATGGGGACCGAGCAGAAGCCTTAGAAGGCGAGAGTCGCAGGAACCGTTACATCCACTGAGCTACCAGTGGAATTCTGGCACTTTAGTAGGAGTGTTGAGTGCAAAGAGACCGTTAACGGTCGCTTACAAAGACCTATAACAACTGATAAGAGCTTATAGAAAATGCCCCCTCCCCCCCTCCTAAACAATAGAACCTTCACTCCTTGCTGGATTACGTTTTTGAAATAGGATCGTGAATTATTAGCGACAGGGACTGATAGCAAGTGATAAAGTCTGATAGATGATCATAGAAGGCAAGAATCACTCAGCCTGCGACACCCACTTTTGTTAACCTTAAAGCCTGACACTTTACTAAGTGATGCAGTGTCATGGGATCGTACTCACCTGGTGACAGGTATTAATAATAATGATGAAGCTGATAAAGCTGGTAAGAAGCTAGCAAGAAGTAAGAGCTGTAAAGGGCAAGAACTAGGGAGTCGGTGGCTCCTTCCGGGTGATTGTGGAAGGTTCAGTGTTGGGGGATCTGTCGCAATCGTTTATGGCACCTAACAAAGTCTAATAACATCTGAAAAGCGCTGGCATCCCAGATAGCGGATCACAGTTGTGATAACAGCTGATAGAGGCTGATAAAGAACCCTGGAAGGTTTTCATTTTCTAACTTTAGTAGATACACTTTCGATATATGACATTTAAATGTTTCGTATTGTAGTACGGGATAGCAGAGTGAGCTGACAAAAAAATGAGTAGTAATAAATGCAGCGACACTGACAAGTCAAAGTTAGTAAAATATAGTAGAATGAAGTTTGGATCACCCCTTGTTATTCGACCACTTCGAGTAACAATCGAGATGCTTCTCAGCAACGGACCACACAATTTTTACACAGGTAGCAGATGCCACAAAACCTATCCAACCACCAATAGCCTGAGAAACTAGGCCAATGATTTATACACAAGGAGGGCTATGGGTATGTCCTTCTGACATTGTTGTTATCATCATTCGACAACCTAAGTATAATCCAAGTTTTCGGTTGACGAACCAGTTTGCTCAATTGCAGAAAAGTCGCGACGCCGAAGAGCACTAAAGGAGGAGCGTAAAGTCTTAATGGGTGGGCACTGCTCGGATCATTCGGATCATATGAAACAAATGGAGATCACGTAAGAGGAAGCGAAAAGCGTAAGCAACCTGTAAAATTTATAGTGCCCGCGTAAGTGGAGAGATTCTCCCTCGAGAATTCGCGCTCAGAAAAGTTGCTCTTTTCTAAAGAAGGAGTCGAGTCGAGAAGCCTGAACTTTAGCAAAAGAAATGGGGGAAGCTGGTAGTAGCAGTAAATAATAATATATAAATTTATAGTGATATATCCATGTAGTCTACTAGATATACCTTGCACTGTATCGGGAAAGCAATTTATAAAAGATTTTTGCTGGTGTCCTCGATTGTACACTACA